TTCATTTGGAAACATGGTAGGCAAATTTGCTCCAGCCAAACTGTAAAGGGTATCCTGCGCTCTTGAAATGACACAATACAAATTCTGGAAGCAAAAAATCCAAGTTCAGAGGCTGGACAGCATTATTACAAATTCACTTTTGTAATTTGCACAGAACCAAATGTAGAATATTTGCATTATCTTAATATGGGATTCATTGTCCAAAATACTCAGAATTAAGAGCCAAAGTTGTTAGATGCGCTACTCAAATTACACATCAGACTAAGGACTGAAACAGCAACAGGGAGTCTTTATAAACCTGTACAAGAATAACTTCTGGGTCTTCAGATAATAGAGGTAACCACACAGCTATTTAACTTAAAAATGAAACACATCAGTAGGAAAAAAGATTGTTGGACTTCTTGTTAGATTTAGGAGTCAATTACTACAAATGCAACCATTTCATCATCATGTCTACAGAAAAACTGCTAAGAAAAATGAAAAATAATTTTTAAAAGCTTTAAAAATAGGATAATTGTGACCTGATTTTAGGGAAGAAATAGATTATACAGATTATTCATCCTTCAGAGATTAAATTCCTTAACTGTTGAAAGCATTTAAATATACATACAGAATAAGTGTTTTTCTCCTTATGCCACATAATTTGTATGTTAGCTTGCTCTTTTTGTGATAGGCCTTCAGGACTTAAGCACAGACCTTTTTTGAAGTCTGACTTCTCAAACACGAACATACGCCCGAATCATGTCTCTTCAACACTTGCACACTTTCATCTCTGAGCACGGGGATCTCTATAACATGAACTGCTAGATATAACTCAGATGCTTAGGTCTCTGTATGCAGAGTCAGTGGCTGCGGGTTCAATTCCTATACTGTACCTCCTCGAGAGGGGCTGGACTCAGTGATCCATAGGGTCCCTTCCAGCTCTGAAGTTCAAAGGTGCAGTTCAAAAAACACCAGGCATGGTAAATCAAAATTATAAAAACATTGACTGGTATAATATAACAAATACAAATTTTAACCAAAACCTAGGTAAAGGTAAAGGTTCCCCTTGTCAATTTTTGTCCAGTCGTGTTCGACTCTAGGGGGCGGTGCTCATCCCCGTTTCCAAGCCATAGAGCCAGCGTTTGTCCAAAGAAAATCTTCCATGGTCACATGGCTAGTGCGACTTAGACACAGAATGCTGTTACCTTCCCACCGAAGTGGTCCCTATTTATCTACTTGCATTTGCATGCTTTCGAACCGCTAGGTTGGCGGGAGCTGGGACAAGCGACGGGCGCTCACTCCGTCGCTTGGATTCGATCTTACGATCTTACGACTGCTTGGTCTTCTGACCCTGCAGCACAGGCTTCTGCGGTTTAACCCACAGCGCCACCACATCCCTTACCAAAACCTGAGTATCTGTTAAATATTGGGTCAGTATTATGCATACTCTTCTTTCCATCTTACCAGAAAAAAAAAACAATTCAATGAAAAAAATAGCTGCACAATGCCTTTGGACTGAAAGCACACCAAAATCCTAAATGTAAATGGGGTGGTGGTGTTATGGCTAATGGAAGTTTACACTTAAGGAAAACTTTCTTTTCTCACACCAATACAGCCATTCTCCCCAAAATAAACACCAAGTGCAGTAAATGAATTTTTACAGAAATAAAGCGAGGGAGGGAAGGGAAGGGTGAAATAATCGTCCTGTGTCTCATCTGAGCCTATTATTTTTCAGTTCTGTCGACCAGGATGATACACTCTGAGTGCCACAGGTTAGATGCAAATACATATTTACATGATGATATAACTGGACACAGCCTCACTTTTGGTTAATTGCAGGATAACTACAGTATCTTTAAAAATCTTAATATTGTTTAGTCTCGACTGCTGCACTCATATCTTTACTCCTTGCACTCTAGCATCCTAAACTACTGGACAGCTATTGCATTCATCTTGCCTTCTTCTGCTCACAGACATATACAATTGAGCTACACATTTCTAAAAACGTGACAGCCCCTAATGATGCCTAGGCACACACAGAAATGCAGTCTTGTTTAATTTACTGCTTTGGTAGTAAATGAGAATTATAATCGGACACTGTTGGCCTTTTCTTCCCTTGACTTCAGAGTTTAAATGTGGTGATGTGGTTCATAAGCTTAGTGGGGGCAGGGGATGCCGGCGGCAGGGAAGAAAGGCTTTAAAAATAGACAGTCCAGTCTGTTGCCCCCCCAGAGGCATTACACTCTTCAACAGTTCAATGAGCTTCTAGAGCCAACACAGCTTTGGACTCAGCGGTAACCTTAAACTCATCAGCCATACAGTCTGTTCACTACTTTCCAGTATGAATGGTTCCAAATCGCTACACAGAAAGCCACAGATCTCTCACTCAAGGTCTGTGAAATTCAAAGTTTTTGTGTGTCAGAACATTTCACGTGAGGGTTTGCTATCAAGCAGGAGACAGAAGATTGCAATACAAAAGGAAGTGGGGCTCTTATTTCCTTCCATTCTTCATACCACAGTCTGTCTTATGCCTAGGAAGTAACAGCTAAGAACAAGCTTTGCTTCTTTATTCAGGCATGCAAAAAAGGTTCCTGCTATATTATATGTACATTTTTTGTTCCTGAAGTGCAATTCTGTCTTCATATCTGTTTGTGTGTCAGCTTTAGCTACAGAGAAGCCTTTGAACACAGAGTAAGAGTATCAGCATCATCACAAAAGCTGTGTAACAAGCATATAATGTGATTAATATGTGTACACCTCTTAATGTACTGGACTGGACTTGGGCGATGGCAGTCCAAGTTTCTGCAGTGGGTCCCAGAATTCACTCAGCAACCAAGACTCCTCTCTTGCTTACATGCAACTCTACCAGCTGCCAACTTCAGATCAAAAACCCACTCCGTGTTGATATAATGGCAGAGCAATTACAGTATGTTGATAAGATTACAATAACAAGGACCCTGACCTACTTTGATGGCACCTTGGAGGCTATTCATGACTAATCATCTTCTTAATTATTTATATTTATATTTATCTCTCATCTTTTCCCTCAAGAGGACCCAAGAGAGCTTACAAAAGTAAAACAAAAAATGAAAAGCTAAGAAAAAACAACAATAACTATAACAATAACAACTATGATGATGATGATGGGAGGAGTTCTATGACATGTCTCTTTGCAGCCTATGGGTGGATTTGGACATATTTATGAGTCATCTGGTGACAAAGGCCAGATTACTCCTAAGCACATTTGTACTCTCGTATAGGTTCAAATGTAGGTCACAGAGAATATGTGAAAATTCAGAAATCCTCCCCATCATCATCATCATCATCATCATCATCATCATCATCATCATCATCATCATCATCGTCATCATCATCATCATCATCATCATCATCATCATCATCTGTCCAAAAAGTGATGTGGACAGATGATATTTACCATGAAAAATCGGACGCCGCAAATACAGCAGGTAGTAAGAGGAGGAAAAAAGAAGCCTAAATGATTGTATCAGTACAAGCAGATAAATATTACTGAAAGCAGTGAAAAGGGAGAATATTTTGAAAACAACACAAACAAACACTCTATATAAGAAACAACAACTTGAAAATAAATTAAACAGCTGGAAAAATAAACCACTACATGGACAACACCTGGGAAATATTGATGGAAAGCATGATCATAATTCAACATGGGCATGGCTAAAACTGGGGACCCTTAAGAAAGAAACCGAAGGCTGGATTTTTGCTGCACACACAGAAGTAATCCAAGCCAATGTGATGAAAGCTAAGATCCAAGGAATTAAGTGCTAACAGCAAAAGGTGACTCTGCCAAGAAGAAGACGAAACTGTCACACCTCGTCTGTGAATGTCCAAAGATTGCACAGATTACAAAGTTAGACATGTCAGAATGACAAATTAGTGCAAAACACACACACACACACACACACACACACACACACACACAAACAAACAAGCAAACAAACAAAACCCAAAACTTGCCAGCCTCCAAAAACCAATGGCAACATCCAGTAGAGAATGTGTAAGAAAATGAGGAACTCAAGATCTTGTGGGATTTCCAGATCCAAACTGATAGGAAACTTGAATGTTACACACTAGACATAGTAGTAATAGAACAAAGAAAGGTGTAACGTTTGGCGGTGAATTGTTTCAACTTAAGAAATCGCCAAAGATATCTTTTGCATGCACACCCATATAACTCAGTATTCAACAGATACTGTTGACAGAGATTTCTTAAGTTATTCCTTTTATTGAGCAGTGTAACAGGATTTCAGCATTTTAGATTCATAAATGAAAATACAAGTTTGCTAAGGATCCCTATGAAAGAGGTGAGACCAAAGGAAAGTGACCAGTCTTCCATTCTTTCTTTCTTTGTACATTACTAGTTAAATTTGGGGCTTTATCCAGATGTGGTTATAAGATTTATTCCTGTGAAGTCAGACTGAAGTCTCTAAGCCTTCTATTAGGCTTTCCTGGACAAAAAGGCTCATTCCACCACAGTTCTTATACACAGAAATGCTAACATTCACCCCAATGTATTCAATTTGCACCACTCTCCTTTCTACCACTTTCTGATGCTGCACCAGGGCAACCACTTGCTTTCCCTCAACCCAAGTATTTGCTCACAATGCAGCAAAGTGGTGCATGAAACTTGAGAAGCCTTGTGGGAGGCTCTTTAGATGTTACACTCATCTAGAGCTCTTGGCCAAATGAGAATACTAAGTATGTAGCACAGGAAGCCACATTTAACCACATTCGCTTCTCCCCCCCCCACCCCAAATCAAACCATTTCATAACAAATCTTAAGTCAAACGTTTGCTGAGAATGGAATCCTGGCCACTCCAAGGATCTCAACCTGCCCCGTGCTTGCCTACATACAGGAAAGGAAATGTTCTCTATCAGACACACTCCCTTTCTGCAGTGAAACCAAATAGGCAAGCGAATGGCCCCTTAACACTGGAACCCCTGTTCTGTGAAGCACAGTTCACACCAGAACCCCTTACCCATTATGGTGACATCGTACTCAATCTGGAAGAGTGCCTCCTGGTTGCACTGAAGTAGGATATTTAGCGCATCAGCATGGCTCACGCTGTGAAGGGGAATCCCATCAACGCTCAGGAGCCTGTCACCAATTTTCAAAGAGCCTTCCCTGCAGGAAAAATGGCATACACAGATCCTGAATATATGAGGAGCCAAAATATGTCACTAAATTAAAACTTACAAGGCCTGTTAGACTGTCACCATTTCATATACCTATGCTATAGGCATGAGGAACCTTTAGTCTTCCAGATGTTTTGGACGACAGAGTCTTTTATCAATGGCATTACGGGCTTGGGATTTCAGGTGCTGAAGTCTAAAACATATGGAATGCCAAAGGTTCTCCATTCCTTCTTATTGACATTGTTGCTACTGTTTCTGTGATTGTCGCTTAATGGTTAACAACAAGCACAAATGCACATCATAACCATAACTAGCAGGTTTGCTTCCCATTCATTCCGCCATTAGACAGCTTCTCTTTCTTCAGAGGATGGGGATGCTCCACAATGCCACTGCTGCCACAATCTTAGGCCTCCTTCCTGGGCAACAGATGCAGTGTGTGCACAACACCACAGCTGTGTCAGTTCTTATCAGCTTTAAGTTTGGTGCCCTCTAAATCTGGGTGCCCCGGGGCAAAACCCTGGTTGCCCTGCCCTACCTACAGCGTTGGTATATATTCTGAAATGGCCTCCACTATTTAAGAGACTGGCAGGTAACAGAAATCATGCAAGCCATGTCTGGCCCACTGAGAGATTGTATGATACCAAAACAAGGTATGAAGCTCATCCATGCAGTGGAAGCTCGTACACCTCTCAGGAAAAGCACCAGAGTGGCATCAGTAGACAAACTTAAAGGGCTTGGAGGTGATGTGCTAATAACGAAATCACATATGCAGCTGGAAAGGGATGGGGAAAGAAAATGGAAGCCAAGAGTCAAGCGTGTAGCTCTTCATAGTTGTCCAAAGCAGAAGCTTTCTCCACATGTATCCAGCTTCCTGAGGCTTTCAAGTGCCTGACACCCTGGCCATTTCAAAAGGACAAACACAGAGAGAGAGGGAGAGAGAGAGGGGGGGGGAGAGAGAGAACACACACACACACACACACACACACACACACACACACACACACACACACACACAGAGAGAGAGAGAGAGAGAGAGAGAGAAGACTATACCACACTTGGATCTCTTTGCAGGAAACACTGAGCAATGCTGTGCAAAATAGTAGGGTAGGGATGAGGAACATCCAGCCTTCACCCCTCACTATTGACTATGAAGGCTGCAAATATTAGGAGCTGCAGTTCAGAAACAGTGGAGCAGCCACACTTTCCCTACACATGATAAATCTTAAAGGCTTCTATCAAATCATATGTACAGCTAATTAAGTAGCAAATGAATGAATGAATGAATGAATGAATGAATGAATGAATGAATGAATGAATGAATGAATGAATGAATGAATGAATGAATGAATGAATGGCTTGCTAGCTCACTAGCTCAAAAGAAAAGAACTATCAGGCTTGCAATTCTTTGCTCTGTCCTGGCATATAAGCATTCAAATTATGGCTTGGGAAAATTCTATACAAGAAACAAGCAGCATTAAAAACAAACATTGGGATGTAAAGCTGCTGAAGAACTTTGGCTAGTAACTTGTTCAAGATTTTTTCAGTTCAACTGCAAAAGCTGCCACAGCGATCTACAAGATGCTATGTTTGTACAGTGGTGCCTCGCTTAACGAGTGCACCGTATAGCGATGTTTCCGTATAGCGATCCCTTTTTCGGGATCACTATATGGAAACATACCCGATCTTCGCAATGGGGAAAACCCGCATTGCGAAGATCGGGTATTGCGGCGGCCATTTTGGAAATGGCTGCCGGCAGCCGTTTTCACGCAATGGCTGCCGGCAATTGGAATCCTCGCTGAACGGGTAAGTAAGAAAGGTATTGGAACGCATTAAACTAAGTTTAGTGCGTTTCAATACATTTTCCCTACCCGTTTAGCGACGATTCCACATAGCGAAGGTTAATCCGGAACGGATTAACCTCGCTATGCGGGGCACCACTGTATCTGGTTGCACACGACTGGTACATCCTCAGGTTGCTGCAGCCATTTCTATGTTTGGAACTCTGCATGTACATAAATACTGAAACTAATTGATTCCTTAAACAGTTTGGCTAAACATCTGTTTGTTTAAGCAACATTGCAAAATGCTGAGTTTGGAAAGTTACTTTCTTGTACTACAACTCCCAGAATCCTCACACCCTACAGAGTCGGTGACTGGGATGTGTTGTCCAAACACTTAACTTTTCCAAGCTATAGCTAACAAGTCCACACTTTACCTGTCTGCCGGGCCACCTGGCCTAACGTATGTTAAGACTAACGGCCTTGATTTGTGCCAGTCTTCATGGGCTCCTCCTGTTAAAAAGGGGGGGAAATAATCATGTACAAACCATAAATGCATAAAAGGCAAGAAACCAGTATGGTAATAGAAGACATTAAGCTTTTTCAGCAGATACTGATCAAAGGCTTTAGAGAGCCATGTACAAAAACCCTGGTGATTACATGCATTTCTCTGTCTTTGAAAGTTGCTTTTCATGTGCTTAGCTTAGAATGGGGATGTCCCTAAAACACCACGCTTTGTTCTTTTCCCTGACTTACAAATGCTCCAGGAACACAAGATTGCTTTTTTAATCACCCGCTAAAAAGGCACTGACCTCGTAGTACAAATCCAAAACTGTTGCCTTCTTTGTACAGGGTCACGTCGATAGTCTTTGGAATGATGCCAGCACTATTCTCTGGTGCTACAGACCGAGAGAGAGAAAGGGAGATTGAGAGAGAGGCAGATAGAGAAATCAGTTAGTACCTTTAACCCAACATGCTTTTCTTTGGCTTTACAGTATTAGTTCAGGGTTTGATATAAAATTTGATTGTTCTTTTACATCAGAGCTGGCCAAAGGGTGGGCCATACAGGTTGACCACATTTCCAAGGGCCTCCATGCCTTCTCCATTCAAAAATTATTGCCAAGAATGGTAAACTATGCTCCAAAGAGTTGTGAGGTGGTGGCATAATGTGCTATCTAGATGTGATTTTACCTCCTTTTCTTTTTGTTTTCAGATTCAATCTTTTAACATGAAGTTCTAGATAAATGGATTTGCTCTGAATTAGAGGAATATGATATATGAAGCTATTTCATCACAGCACTAAAACATGCCTTAATCTGATTATTAAATGCCCACATAGTCCAAAATGTATTTGTATTGCCTGCTCGCATGACACGGTTGGTGTAAATCTCATTGGCAAATTGTCATAAAGTCAAAAAGTGGGCATAGAGAAAATTGGACAATCATCTGTCAGATCTGCTTTGATTTGGATTCCTGCTCTGAGCTCGGGGTTAGACTTGATGGCCTTATAGGCCCCTTCCAATTCTTTGCTTCCATGATTTTACTGGTATTTGCTGTTGTGCAGCAAATCATGCATTTCAGCCAGCAGCAACAAACATTCATGCTCACTTCTTGATTTACCAACAAAATTAAGAGTCAGTCTGTTATAAAACCTCAATATGATTTTTGCTATAGCACAATAAGGAAACATTCCCATTTCCCCTAAGCTTCCAAGCAGACTATGGCTTTCAGAAGCTGACAAATTTTCCAAAGACTTTTACTTTGGATTTTACAAATGTTTCAGTAATCACCTAGATGGCAAGTATAGACGGATAAACTTAAATCCTCACAGGTAAAGGAATGCTTTCTGACTGTGACAAGGAGAAAGAATGACCAAGTGTTAAAAGCAATCTTTCTAGAAATATGATTTCCTTCATTGTTAATTTGGCACTTTCTTTAATTTCAAATGTTTATGAATGCAAAATAAACAAGAGTTAAAACAGAGTATGCTATCAATACATGGCACTGGAGATGGGCACGAAGCACTTTGTGCTGTGCTGTCTAAGTCATCAGCACGGCACTTCTCTAAGCCATATTGGCTGGCTTCTCCACCAACCTGCCAATGTGCTGCTCCTTCCATGCCTGTTGCACAATCTTGCATTCTCGCAGAAGCACAGACTTCACTTCTCTGCCTCCTCCAGCAACTGTCCAGTCAGATGAGGAGGCAGGGCAGGGATTCCTGCAGTGCAGCCTGTGAATGGCAAGGGAAGTCCTTGCTTCTGCCAGAATGGTAGATCATATGATGGGGAAGGAAGGAGCAGTGTGTGCCAGCAGGTCAATGGATGGAAGCCAGCCAGGGGAGGAGGGGAAAGTGAACACTTAGATGGCACGGCATGAAGTGCTTCATGCCCATCTAATGGACACATATTACATATGCTCACTCTTTTCATCAGCACTACTGCTTGCCATGTTACCGTATATATTGTGTGAACTATGGAAGCAAACTGAGCAGATTTCTTGGTAGAAAGGGAAAAAATGGGGATAAATCCAACAGTTTGTCCCAACTAGAACAGATCTGTTCAACCAACTCTATTTACATGAGTATTCATAAGTTCCATTCATCTAATGGTTGAAATTCTGTTCATCTAAGTTTTGAGTGTAAGGCTGAAGACAATTTTTTGGAAACCAAACTTTTTCCTCCTCCCACCCTGGGCCCCCCCTGGTTGTCTGTAACCCGTGGGGGGCACCGGACAGAAAGAGGAAGTCTTTAATCAATGAAAAACTCTGATCCTGGCAAAGCCATCCTGTTGGTGGTGATTTGTGCTAATAAAAGACATTTACCTCCTGTCCTGCAGCCCCCATGTGTTGTTCTTTCTGTTTAGTCATTAAGTTGTGTCCGACTCTTCATGACCCCATGGAACAGAGCATGTCAGGCCCTCCTGTCTTCCACTGCCTCCCGGAGTTGGGTCAAATTCACATGGGTAGCTTGAGCTTTCACCGAAAGTGAAAGAGCCCACAGGGGACTTGGGTAGTAGGAAATGTTTAATCTATGTTTTTTATGTTGAGCTGCTGATACCATAAATCTTATGCCACAGAACACATGCATAGGATTTCAGTTCATTTATTCTAGTCAGGACTAACATTATGCTTAATAAGAAGCACTTTAGAAAATGGTCTATGGTAGCCACCACTTCACATCCCATGCTCTCTCACCAATAGAACAAAATGCTGCTGCTAAGAAGATGCTGCCTGCAAAACACATAAGCAATAACTACAATGAAATAAAGTATGCTCTTTCACATCCCATGCTGCTGCTAAGAGGATGCTGCCTGCAAAACACATATGCAATAACTACAATGAAATAAAGTATGCTCTTGGTTCTTAATTCGTATACACCCAATCAAGTAGTGCTCACGCAAGCAATCATGTAAGACACATTTCACTGAGTGATAACAGTAAGTGGAAAGTTAGGGGTTGAAACCACACTTTGCTTCTATGAGCTGGAATGTTCCTCTAATAGCCTTACCATCACCATAGCTAGGAAGAGGCTTTTATCAATCTGCCCATCATCCTACATCTCCTGCACCCTCTAAAATTTTGGCCCACATGGTTGGAGCAGTAGCCCTGGGAACTTCGGTGGGAGAGAGGAATGGACAAAAACCAACTCCTTATACTCCTGCTGGATCTAAACCCTTTCAGATATTAAAGACTTTGGTTAGCAGATAAGAAAGTCTGGGCTCCCCCCTCGGGTTCAGTACAACGTGAAACACATGGACATTTTTCTCGACCAGCTTTTACAAAGACACCACTCCAATTTAGTTGTCCAAATATTTTCACGTTTGATACACAGAGGAGCTGTTCTAAAATGTGAAGCAGTTTAGAAATATACTTTAAACAACAATAACAGTTTTAAAAGGCAGTAATATCATGTTACAGCTTTAGAGTGGGAAAAAAATCTGAAGCCACCTTGGGTTCTTTTAAGGAGAAAGGCAGGATATAAATAAACGAATAAACAAACCAAAAAAAAACCAACAATCTGAGGATGTGCATGAGAAAATAAGGCAATTTCCCTGGTATGTTCACAGCACACTGCTTGTAACTTGTGACACCATGGTTCAAGTTGCGGGGGAAGTAGAGCGACTAATTGTATGATTTCATAAACAGATGAGAATCCGATTAGACCTTTTGCTCAAATATCCAAAGGCAATACAATCTGGGACATCAGCTACAGGGGGCACTGATCTGCCTTCCCACACTTGTTGATGCCTGCAAAATCTTTAGTCCTGTTAAATTTTTATGAGCAATAGTGCAGTTAAATGTTCATTAGTGGTTCTCCCACCATGGGAAAAATAGGTGAATATACAAAGTAGGGTCACACCATAACACCTCCATGAATGGAAAGAGCTCCCATTCATAGAAAGAATACTTTTCACAGAAAGGGTTCCAGTTTCAGTCACTAGCAACCAATTTAAAAAGGCTAGAAATATGGAGAGTGAAAGAAAGGCTGGGAATATGGAGACTGAAAATATGGAGAAGCTGCTGCCAGTAGAATTCACTGGGCGGAGAAGTAATCCAATGACCCAGGCAACTTTACTTATTTGCATGAAAGGAAAGAAGAGGAGGGACAATCATCTCCATCCCAAAGCACCACCAGTTTATAAAAAGCTACAGCAAACACTAGATGATCAGGGAGGTACTCACCTGCAAGTGGTAGCTCATATTCTACCTCTAATACTACTCTTTCCCCTACATTCTTCAACAGGCTTATGATTTCATCATGTCTCAATTTGGTCAGGTTAATCCCATTCACCGATTTAATGTAGTCACCGACATTTAGCTGGTCACTCCTGTAACATACGAAACAAAACAGCTCTACCAGATCTTTCCATGGATGGCTTTTCACAATGCACATTATATGAGACTGCAGCTTTAGTGGCTAATTAGACTTAGACACTTAATGAGATGAACAGTAACACTTATGGAATAGACCCCATACAGAGCAATATTGAATTTTAGTTGCTAACTGAATGTCCCATCAACAATTAATATGGTGGAGTAGGTCAATGAGGAAGAATATGGGGAGAGGAATTATAGGGTACTCTTGTTAAATAGCAAGCAATCAAGTCTTAAGTGGCAAAGCTCAAGAAAGCATTTATAAGCCTTTCCACTCCATTTGTGCTAGGTTTTTTTTAAACCAGTCTCTCCAAACTGCTAGCCCCCTCCCATGTTTTGGACTACAATCTCCCTAATTATCACCTTTTCTGTTTGAGGATGATAGGAGTGGTAGTCCAAAACAGAAGGCTACCAGCATGAGGGTCCCCAGCCATATTTTATCCTTTGGCATACCTGGCATGGCCAAAGAGCTGTGATATTTTTGCTTTTGTGTGTTTGTCATTTTTAAGAGCCAACTTGCAGGTCATCATGACAGCCTTCAGCCTCACCCTACACCCACAATATGATCCATGAGACTGTCTTTACCGTGCTGCCAGTCCCCCTGGTCTCAGGTTGGAGACTCTTGGCTTCCCGTCTTTGTCTGTGCCACCAGATATAGTTAATCCAAGAGTGCTGCCCTCTTTTTTAATCAGCTCCACAATGGTGACTCCTCTGAATTCCTCTGGAAATAAAAAGCAGCAAAGAGTCAGTTCAATTCCCAGTTCAGCAGGTATAGTTGAATCAAACCAAAACCAATCCAGGAGGATCTTGCTCCCAGAGATAAAACACCAGAGTGACTGATTAATTACATTTGTCAAACAAATAAACCCATTAAAACCACCTTGATTTATAAGTAAGATAGGTAAAACTACACAATAAATTTTCATTAGGTTTCAATGCCAGTTGGAAATGAATGTGCCTTCACATCCTTTCTAAAAGCCATGAATGGGAAGTGGCTGCATCATAAAAGGCAGCACATTCCATTCTCCTGGAGCACCACATGCCTTTTGAAGATGTTGGCATTCCCAAGAGTGTGTCTTTCAGAGATCTTGACAGCAACAAAGATTTATGATGGGAGAGACCCACCACTTAGCCAACCATGTCTTAAGTTGTTTAGGCATTTAAAAAGTTAAAACCCAAGGAGGCAATTAACAAGCTCAGCAGGTTTTTCAGTGTTGGGGGTCTTGAGACCCTAATATCACATGTCGGTTTTCAGCCTAGTTGTGCACATCTGGCCAAATGGAAGGTCCTGGATGCTTCCCCTTGGGAGGAAAGGGATGACAAACCTCGACAGCATCTTAAAAAGGCAGAGATATCACCTTGCCAACAAAAGTCCGAATAGTCAAAGCTATGGTTTTTCCTGTAGTGATGTATGGAAGTGAGAGCTGGACCATAAAGAAAGCAGACCGCCAAAGAATTGATGCCTTTGAATTGTGGTGCTGGAGGAGGCTCTGGGGAGTCCCCTGGACTGCAAGGAGAACAAACCTCTCAATTCTAAAGGAAATCAACCCTGAGTGCTCACTGGAAGGATAGATCCTGAAGCTGAGGCTCCAATACTTTGGCCATCTCATGAGAAGAGAGGACTCCCTGGAAAAGACCTTAATGTTGGGAAAGTGTGAAGGCAAGAGGAGAAGGGGACAACCGAGGATGAGATGGTTGGACAGTGTCACCGAAGGAGGGTGTTGAGACCCTAATATCACATGCCGGTTTTCAGCCTAGTTGTGCACATCTGGTCAAATGGAAGGTCCCCAGGTTAGTGCCCTGTACAGCATATTACAATAGTTAAGATGCCATACAATTAAGACATGAGTGGCTCTTGGCCAAGTGAAGTTGACTCAGGAGAGTTGGTAACTGGCACACTGAATGGAACTGTAAAAGAAACTCCTCAACACCACTACAACTTGGGAGTCCAGACGGATGCTTCCCCAGGTTAGTGCCCTGTACAGCATATTACAATAGTTAAGATGCCATGCAATTAAGACATGAGTGACACTTGGCCAAGTGAAATTGACTCAGGAGAGTTGGTAACTGGCACACTGAATGGAACTGTAAAAGAAACTCCTCAACACCACTACAACTTGGGAGTCCAGGGACAGTGAAGAATCAAAGAACAGGCCTAGCAATAGGCTCACAGTTCTGAAGCCCCAGGACATGCTAAGTAAAAGGGACTATGCCATCATCTGCTACACTCCCTAAGCCTATCATTTTCCCTCTGAGCTTAGATGCAATCCTCATAGTAGCTAGAACAGAAGCAGGTTTTCTCAAAGCTATGCCTGCTGTAATGCAAAATATCTGAGTATGATTTAGTCTTGAATGGGCAATTAAGATCCATCAACTTCACAAAATGCCTGCTCCTCAATATTTTGCTATGGATTAATCTACCTGCTTGCATTTTTGGACATTCCTGGTAAGTGGAAAGTGGCTGGTTATGAAGAGCATCAAAATGAGCATGGGAAATTTTTTATACTACGCCATTACACATTAGCTGAAATGTACCAGTGTAATAAACTGGGAAAATGCAGTTGCTGCAAATTCGCTGCAAACAGGTGTGACCCCGCTTATAGCCCATGTTCAAATCTCAGAGCTGTTTTCTTTGTTGTAATCCAGCATGTGGTGGGAGATGTTGCAATGTGGGTGGGGGGCTGCACACGGCAACCGAGGGCATCTCATGGCTGAACACAATGTCACTTGAGGGGAATGTCATGCCCCCTCTGAAACCCCCCCTTTTAAAAGAGGCATTTATGAGCACGTGCAGACTTTGATTGTAATTTGTCTCCACATCTTATATCCATCTATGTACATTAAAATAAATAAATAAGTTTTGGATGAAAGACATCACCAGGAATTGCACATCCTCATGCATGAATGGAGATGCAGGAGGGGGGGAATGAAGAGATGACAGCAAGAGCAGTCATATTGGGGGTTCAAGGGGGACGGCAAATGAGAGTGCGGTGGGGAACGGGCAAGCCGAAAAACTTGTGGTGGAAAAATGCAGATTCAGTCAGGTTTTTCTGAAGAGTGCAGTTTCGGCCACAACACTACAAACCTAACATATTATGTACGGGGAACACAATTTTTAGAACCAGTCTCTGAAGAGAGTGCCTTCATCATCCCTACTCCACTTTCAGATGGCGAGCTTGGACTGCCAGTTTAATACTGCAAATGAAACACTATCCTCCACACCCTTGAGGGCATCAGGTTGTTTTAAGGCCCATTCAGTACAAGACAGGGTAAGTGGCACACAGAACTCTTATCTGCGTATCTCCCACAAGGGAGCACTGGAGAAACAGCCAACAGACAGCTCCTGCCATTCATAGCACCTGCTGCCTGATATAGTGGTCTCACTCTGCCTAAGGGTAGGGCTTACATGCGGTCAAAATCTTACTCTACTTGGGGCTCACCAGAAATGATGCTGGGGCAAATAAAATCAAATCCATAAAATTAATTCAGTTAAAGCATTTATGGATTTTAACAGTCTGTGGTTGAAAGGAAAGCAGTCAGTATGTCGAGTAACCATCTTTCTTTTTTTTTAAAAAAAAAAGAATAGTGAGAGTGAGGAGAATGGAATAATCTGTCTTACTGTGTTAAAATAGCTCTGAAGGCCTACAGTTGCGAGGTCATTGGAGAAAACACAGTCTTCGGCTATTCAGGTTATGATTTCAGAATGGGCACCTTGGCAAGACGTGCAGAGGGACTTTCATGCACTCATATATATGTAAAAGAAGCAACAAATAAAATCACTGGAGGTCTGGCCATGTGGCCCCTGCCCTACTTAGGGAGCATCACAGAAAGAGGGTGAAGCACCCCGAAAGGTCAACAGGACTCCACACAAACACAGCTGCAACCAAGAGATAGTACAGACAGCTGCTACCTAGGACAGCTGGCAGCAATTACAGACCAATTAGGGAAGACGGATGGGGTTAAATGGAGAGATGAAGACAAAAACAGCTATTTCCAGCAGGAGAGTATTAAACACCAGAAGAAGAAGGGGGGGAAGGGAAATGGGGAGTATGTAAATGCAAGTCCAGGTTAAATTTGTTGAGGAATATTTCTGGTGGTCCGTAGACAGGGGAATTCTTGTGATGCTACAGTATATCACGCCATTGCTAGATTATACCTGCCAGCTTCAAGCTTCAGCCTCTTACATGGATGTTTCTGATCCAGCTTCATACCCTTCAGATTAAAGCTTTGAGAATTGTCAACAGCTCCTCACACTCTACTGCAGGGAGCTTCGAGGGCAGCTGTTGTCAACAGGGGCCCCCGGAGCAGCCCTGACCAATTGTAAGGGGGCCACAGACTAGAATCAATTCTTCACACACCACCTTAAAAGGTTCATTCTGAGATTTATATAATCCTAATTCAGCCTATATTTCTACCATATTGTGTTTATGGCCATGGCAGGAAAAAAGGCTGAGAATGGCTGCTCTGGGGAATGGGCCTGGATTATTGGGATCTGATGGCTGTTGTGGGTTTTTCGGGCTCTTAGGCAGTGTTCTGAAGGTTGTTCTTCCTAACGCTCCACCAGTCTCTGTGGCCGGCATCTTCA